CCGCCCCCCGCCGGCCCCTCAGCCTGGCGCCCACGCCCCCCCGCCTCTCACTCGGTTCAGTCTCGGGGCAGACGGCCCTGCTGGGCTCTTTTCCCTGCTTGATCTTGTGCCGTGAGGGGTGGGCTCTAGGAGGACGGGGCTCGTCTGCGGAAGTCACAGTAGTAAAGGTGCGATGTACAGCCGGTGAAACGCACCCTTCCTAGGGGCCAGTGCGGTGGGTTTGGGCAAAGCATAGTTTTGTAGCTGTAATCTAGTCGTAGAGCAGTTTTATCGCCTGGAAGTCTCCCCGGCCCCTTGTTCAGGTGGCCACATTTTGCAAAACCATAAAATACATATCCATGCACACATGCACATCTGCATCTGTATCTACCTGAACACACATGTGTGCACATATGTACACATGCACTGACACATATCCGCACGTGTGTGTGCACAGATACGCACATGCATACGTTCATACACACACGCATATACATGCACGCATACGCATCTACACATAGACACGTACACACACAAACACCTGCTGCGTGCACATTTACACGTGTCCACAGGTGTGTGTGCATTTTAACGTATATGCACGCACACATACACACGTTATTCCTGCTTGCACACGTATGCACATAAGCATATATATGCGTGCACAGACACGTTTGGGAAATAACCAAGTCAAGTTCGAATTTTAGACAACCAGCAAATAATGTTAGTGTCAGGTGTGCTGTGCGAGCCTCCCTTGCCGGTCATCCCACCCCCAGCCTGGCCTCTGTGGCTTCGCCTCCTTCTCAAGCGTGGGGAGCAGGACTGACCCCGATGCCCAGAACAGTCAGCCCCTGGCGGGCAGGGGCCCGGCAGCTCTGGGGGGAATGGTGTTGCAGCCCCACGTGGAGGAGGAGGGGAGCAGGGCAAGGAGCAGGGCGGGCTGAGGAGGGGTGTGGAGTGCAGCCAATGGGGGAGCAGGCAGGTGCCCGAGGCCGGGGGCGGGTGCCCGAGCCCTTCCCGCTGGACCCTGGCGCTCACAGCAGAGGCGAGACCGCGCCGGAGTGCGCACCCCTGTGCCTCAGACGTGGCTGACATCTCCTCCCCGTGACCGTGATTAAGTCCGGATGAGTTAACTTTTGTTTCTGGTCCAAAAGAGCTTTTTGTGCATCACTTAACAACGCTTTCAAATGGTTCCCGGTGCTGGTCATTCACTTGAGTTCTCTTTTTGCTCTGCAGGCACTAGGAAGCTTTTATTTTCTTCATGAATCCTTAAAAAACATCTACCAGTTTGACTTTAAAGGTAAGACTCTTCTGGGATCTCTGGCAGGGCTCACCCCACCCCGTGTCCCTGTGGGAGGCTCACAGCCACGAACCAGGGACCTCACAGGGAAGCCCGGCTTTCTGGCCCCTCTGAGGTCCAGGCGGCGGGCCTGCCCCAGACCCCAGCCCTGCCCATCCCCCTGCTGGGCAGGGCCTGTAGGTGACACTGGCTTTCCTGCAGCGCAGTCGAGACGAGAAGGGAATGGTCTTGGGTCTGTGTCCGTACCAAACGGGAGAAAGTGGAGAACGGCAGGAGAGTGTGCTGTCTTTAAAGAGAGGGACAAGCGCTGCTGTTTGCGGTGGAGTGAAAAATGCCCGTGCTTCTGGGCCAACACCGCGCGCTGAGTGGGGGAGGAGACGTGCCTCCCGAAGACACAGCCTTTGTCTCTGTGGCTCAGCACGTGTGAGCCGTCCCCCCGGCCTGGGCGGCCCCAGCGTCTGCCCTGCTCGGCTGGGGTGCTGTGCGCCTGCCCTGGTGGGCACGGTCCCTTCGTGCCACCTGTGAGTCCTCTGGCTCCACAATGCTCTTGAGCCAGATCACATTAATTTGAGATGTCACTGGAGTTGTGATAACTATGGAGAGCGACTAATTATGTCAGTTTGTCCAGATTCATTATCTTTGCTCACTTACGAGACAGATCACCTCTCAGGAAAGTGAGAAGCAGAGCCTTCTCTAAATTGCTTGAGTAGTGATTTCATCGATGTTAAGAACAGGATTCCAGCCAGCAGGACTATTTTTCACCGGCCCTGTTGCCTGAGGATTCTTCACATGGTTTTCTAAACACAAGCACCTGCCTTTTCCCACTGGGGAAGCCACGCGGACCTGGTGAGAGACGGGCCGGAGGCCACCGTCCCCCGAACTTGATAGACCGTGGACGCCACTGTGTCACGTTGTCAAGCAGCGGGGCCGTGGGCCAGAGTGCACAGAGGGGAGGTGTTCAGACACAGCATGCTCCAGGCGGGGCTGGAAGCAGAACGGGTTACACCTCTGCTAAGCCTGTGCTTCAGGCTCAAACGTGTCGCTGATCTATTTAACTTTTCCTCTTTTTTTTGAGTGACCATCTACATACATATTTTATTGCTAAATCAGATGGGTCAAAACTACCTGGCTGGCCCGTGGTTTATTCAAAACCATCCATTAGATACTTGTACGCGTGACCCCAGCAGACCTTCCCCGAGGGCCCCCATGTCGTCAGTGACAAGGGCTGAGATGGTGGCAGTGGCCATGCCCTGAGCACGTCTGTGGCGGGAGGCTGTGGGGACCCTGGGGACGCAGCGGTGGCCCAGCGTGGCCGTGCCACTGCTGCCGCTCCGAGCAGGTGCTGGTCTCAGAGGAGTGGGGCGGGCCGCCGCCTGCACTGTGGCCCTGGCTCTCGAAGGTTCACTCTTACACCTTGAGTCAAGTTACAGCAAACGTAGAAGTTGTGAGAAGTTTGAATGAACTTTTTAAGAATAGCCTGTATTTTCACAAACAAGCAGTTAGAAATCTGAGGACGCCCTGAAGCCGTGGGTGGGAAGGATGATAGATAGGGACGTCACTTTCTGGCCCGGCACCTGCGAGCACGGGTGGCACTGCGCGGACCCAAGAGGGCGCGTCTCTGAGATCCCGCAGCAAAGCCAGGCCGCCGGGCCGGTGCCGCCTCCAGACTGGAGGGCCGGGCGGGCAGACCGGGACCCCGGAGCCGGCGGGGGCAGTTGACGGGGCGGAAGGCCGGAGGCTCCAGGATGGGGGCTTGGG